AGCTCAACCAACAAACCGGTGCCTGTATGTGTGTGAGATATTAGTCTCAGAAATGACAGCAAGCTTGGATTTTTAACACCTAGATACAGTAGAGTCAGTGGATGCTGCACAAAAAGCCCTCTGTGTGTTTTAAAAGATCCAGGTGGTAACCCTGTGGGAGCTGAACACAGAAAATAAAGCTTCTGACCTTTAGGATGACACCTCCGTTAGCATTTTCTTTATTCGTCATAGCAGCAAAAGAAAAAACACTGTTTTATGTTTTTCCATTTTATTCACAGATTCATTTTGACAAGGGTTGGCTCCATCCAGGCGAAACTGAACACATGCTTCCTGTTTGCAGCCAGACACAGCAAGAAGCTGTTCCCTGATCCTCTCACCCTCCACATGAGTGTCTCTTTCTGTAGCTGTTTACATTCAGAAATGGGCATAGATGTATTTTTCCATAGCTTGCCTCTTTGCCAACAGGAGGTCAGCAGGTGCTCCTGTGCTCACCAGATGGTTTGTGTGTCTCTGAGTGTCATTTTCCAGGAATCTTTAGAGGAATGGCTCCCTCTAGAGGGGAAAAGTGAAGCTTACAGAGTAAGATCAATTTATTGACTTCAGCTTAAATTCCTGTTAAAGGACAAAAATGAATGCATAGTTAAATATTAAGCAAAAGTTACATTTATTATTTAATAATAAATAAACTATAATGTTAGAAAATCATAATATCCATATGTTATATTTTAGATTGTAGCGATTCCCATCTGCCACAGTTTACATTCAAGGTAACTAACTTGATTTTAAAATATTCCAAATAGAAAATAAACACTAATTTATTTCTTAATGCTTGACAGAAACATTTGAAGTTAACAAACTTGTTGATATTTTTCTAAAACAGACACAATGCAAAAAATTTTTTTTCTTAAAATAGGTTCATTTTTTTCTTAAATTAAGCAGGTGAGATACTTTGCGAATAAAATAAGACAATTCACATTGAAAAGAAGAAAAAGGTAATTGCATTCTTTTTTTCAAGTGCATAATAGCTAATTATCTTATTTTAGGGGGCAAAATACACATCCCATCGGAAGATCTTCTTATTTACCCACTCAAATTAAGGGTAATTACACTTATTTTTTAGATCGTTTTTGCAGTGTGGAGCAGAAATACTTTTTATCATTGTGGGTTAAATCAGTTCTGAAAAAAACATAATAGACTAATGAAATTTACAGAAATACCTCCGATATTAAGAGTACTTCTAAAATGAAGTGACATACAATATCACAGTTATTTTTATTTTTCACTTTAAAGATTTTGGTTCTTAAAATTTGTTTTTATTATCCAGCCAATAAGAGCATAGTAGATCCAAAAAGTCAAGTTTTTTCAAAATGTAATTATTTTCCACATGCACACCCTAGTACTCTTGCTTTCTGTTGCTCTTGATGCAGAAAAACTTGGGAACAGGATTTAAATCCAGGATCTTATGGATGCAATGCTGCTGTACCATCAACCATTTCAATCCCAATATGGACTTCCTGATGTGCTTTGGATTATTTTCACGCTTTAAACCGAAGTGCATTTGAGATTAATATCGCATTTTGAAAGCCAGATCATTTTTTTTTTTTTTTTTTTGCATTTACTGTTTAATAAACTTTTTCCAAAATACTATTAATTTAAAATTTGTATAGTTTTATTCCTCTTTGGGATTATTAGCATTTTTTGGTTTGGCTGTAGTAAAAGTGGGCAGACTATTTGTTTTACATTTGGTCTGCAGTGGTTTTTGACTTTGATTTGTACCATTGATGCTGTTATTGCCCAGCCTCTCGGTCATGTATTCTCAATGATTATTATTTTTATTTTTTTCTCAAAAAAAGTGAGGCCTACAGTGCATTACACACTATTCTGGGGCTTCCTGAATGAATCCCTGATGCACTCTTGGATTTGTTGGGCCAGTCTCTCCTGGGAAGGTTCACCACTGTTTCATCATTTCTCCATATGTGGATAAAGGCTCTGTCTGTGGTTTACTGGAGTCTCAAAGCCTTAGAAATTACTTTAAAGCCTTTTGCAGACAAACAGGTCATTGTTTGTTATCTGTTCTTGAACAGGGCATGATGTGTTTTTCTTTAAATATATATTTTAGTGTACTTCAGTTTGTCATTAATAGGTGGGTCCTATTTATAAAATGTCTTGCCAGGGCAAAGCAGACAGTTTTCATGATATCTGTGATAAGGGAAGCTGAGTTAATAGAAATTTTTGCTCTTTCTAATTTTCAGACTTTTTTTGAAAGGATCATTTTAGGCATCCTATTTGTTTTAGCTCAGGCTTTTTACATCTGATAGTATCACTGGTCTTAAATTATGAAAGTGTTACAAAGAGCAAAAACAGAAAATAGGGGTAAATTATCTTTTTACAACTAGTTTTCTATTGTTTTAGGAGGAGTAAAGTGTTGAGGTATTATTTATGACTGTTATTATCGTTGTTTTTTAATGTATCTAGATGCAGGTTTTAAAATTATCAACAGATTAAGACCTTAAATAAATGATTCAACTTAATTTTAGGTTTAAAACTTTTTAAATTAATCCAGATTTCTTTCATTTTAAGTCCTAAATTGAATTTAGATGCTTTTAAATCTTTACCATTTCCCTCAGCTTTTTAAAATGTATGTCTATTATACCTTTAATTTTTTTCAGTTTTATCTAAGGAATGAAGATGCAACTATATGCTTTAAACAACTTAGATGGTGCGTTATGCAACACAGCGTCTCCCAAATATCCGGAAACTCCCAAATGACCTTTTGCAAATAAAACCATAGCATCAGCTCATTGCTACCAGATGTTGGATGTTAAATGTGGTTGGGCTTGTTTCTAAATGTTCACTTAGTGATGTTTGTGTTAACTGTCTCACACAGCTATTAGGTAAAAAATAAAAATAAAATACTTTTTAAAATAAAACAGACATCTTCCTAAAACATTTTTATTATTTAAGTGCATTAATACAGGCTGGTAATATTTTTTATAAGGCCATTAAAGCAAGGAACAAGAACTCAGTGTAGCTAAATGTAGCTTTTTGTATATCAGTCAATGCTTTTGGTAAACAAGCATTTAAATAAAAGCGTTTACATGACTGTTACCCCCAAAACAATTGGAACAGCTTTTATTTCAATGCGCTCAAATGTATCAGAAATACTGTCTATTGCTTTCAAAATCAAACCATAGAGAGAAATTTGTTCCATTTACTAAATTGCTTAAAGGTTAAAAGGCAGGTGTGATTTACGGCTAATCTTTCCCTTTGAAAATATTTGATAAGAAGAAGATTGAGCTTCACTGTTGAGCAACATCATTGGGCAACTATTTTTATGGTTTTATAACCACTGTTTCTGAAAACTGGCCGGGTATTAGAGCCCAGGTTTATTGGCTTTATTTGACAATTCGTTTGCATCTCCTGGTTGTATCACAAAGTAGTTCTATGTTCTCTGATGGTGTCAGATCCAGGAATTGGCTTGACTGCGTATTCAAGATCTTGTTTTTATGTCCATTTTAAAGACACTTCTACGGAATAATGTGACATGATTTCAAGTGTTTTTGTTGTTTTTCAAACTGATCTATGATCCCTGATTTAGGACAAACAGGCAGGAAAGCAGAACATGAGGAAGGTTTCACAGCATAAATTCTGTGATTTTTTTGTTTGTTTTTGTTTTTATGAAAACCCGGGAGTTGATCATTGTTGCTTTCTGGTGAAATTATAAATCTCTATTTTTCTTAATCATCAGTTTGGTTTGAGTTTACTTTTTAAAGCACCAGAGATGATTTTAGCTAAGCAGCCTCTTAGTTTCTGTGCTTCCCACGATACTCTTTCCCCTTCTCCAATCAACTTTCAATCAGCTCTTCGCCGTTCGCTCTTACAAACAACATCAAGGGAGTTTTTTCTCTGTTTCAATGAAATTTTCAGAAAGGACTTCACCATAACCAGCATGGGCAACATTTTCTGCCTTTAAACCTAAATAAAGATCACCCTTTAACTGAAAGAATTACCTAAATGACCAACCTGTTCCCTGCTAACATTTTAAAGAAAATATTTTCAAAATGCATCCATCGATCTTCACCTGCTTAGTCCTGTCAGGATCAGAGGGGGGAGGGAGGTTGCACACACACAATCTCAGCTAAGGACAATTTAGAGAAGCCAATTAACCTAACAGTCCTGTTTTTGAAACTGTGGGGGGAAGACATACTGTAGTACCTGGACAGAACCCATGCATGCACAGGTAGAACATGCAAACTCCATGCAGAAAGACCCTGGGCCGGGAATTGAACCCAGAACCTTTTTGCTGCAAGGCAGCAGTGCTACTGCTCCCCCGTGCAGCCTCCACCTTTCCAATTATCGATTTAATATATAAAATTCAGAAGCCTAAATATGAAAACTTTGATTTCTAAACTTACCGCTAACAAATTTGCTAACTACAAGTATCGTTTTCAACAGTGAATAATCTGCTTATTGATAGTGAACGCCAGTAACCCATGTTGGTGACAATAGTGGATGAAAGCAGCTTTAATGTGAATTTAGACAAATCAAAAGGAAGCATGTGTACACAAAATATAGAACATAAATAATAGACATTAATTGCAAACGACCCTGCTGAGGGTGATAGATAAGTATTAATTATGAAGCAAATATATGCAAACTGACTTATGGTTTTACCTTTTGCATTTAACAGCATTATAATAAAGATGATCAAGTCCATTCTGTGCTCTGGAAAATAGTTGAAAGATTTAGAAATATTTTGCTGACAGACACGGTAACCTTAGTAGCTTTTTTTTTTAAAGATTTACAAAAAAGTTTTACCACCAGAATCACCCAGTTACACAGAGGGAAACCCAACTGCTCTGAAACTGTTTTAACAGCAGGCAAAATAGTTTACCACAAAACATCGCAGTTAGGTAACTGTGACTTTTTAATACTCTTGTGTGCTGTCATAGTGAAAAGAAACAACACCATAATTGTCTAATATAGGATCTTAATAAATAAATGTTCCATCAGTTCAAAAAATCATTTAAATTTAACCAAGGTTTTTAAATAAATCTCCATTAAAGCCAAAATGAGAATGTTTATGGAAACCCCAAAAACCTTAGATGCTAATTCAATCAATCCAATGCTTAAATTTAATGGGGTGAGCTTTCTTTATGCTGCGACTGCACCATAAGCTTTAGAAATCAGGTCATGTCCATAACATAATTACCTAATGAAAAGGAAAAAAAAGGAATTGACAGGTAGCTGGAATGTACGTTAGAGTAATAATCTTCATACGTATGTTCACCGTTTATCAGCTTTACGGAAGTTCTGCAAAAACAAATATATATATATAATACATATATTAGCTTAACTATATATATAATATACATTAACCTATACTGAACCATTATAATCTTTTTTTATTTTTGGTGAACTCACCTGCTGCTTTTTTAGTGGCTTAGTGTAAAACTCAGATTGAGATGGTTGGTTTCCTTTGCGACTCTCGTTCACAAAAAAGCCTGAAAGGTTGGAACAGTGTTTTTTTTTTTTTTTACAGCAAAGCAGAGTTCTGTATATTTTAGAACATCAAATACTCTATATCATGGTTGATGAAGCTCGCTTCATCTAAACTGGACACTTGGGATTTACTAAACAAATCCCCAGGCCTCTCAGAGGACTGAATCCTCCAGCACTGAAGCTGAGACTGAAGGAACTACAAAGGCATGCAAACACAGGTCTCCTGTGTTCTCTGAGATAAGGGTTTATTAAAGACTCACTTGGTGTGGGATGAACACTGTTGATTTTATCTGCAGGAAAAAAGGACCGTTTAGATTGTTACAACGTCTCTGTGCTGATAGCAGAGTTTAAGCAGCACTTCCAGGGTGGCAGAATATTTACCGTACACACAACCGTCTCTGCTGTTAATGCCGCCGGCTCTCAGGTGGCTCGGCCTCTCCTGTAAAGATAGAGTCTTTACCTAAAATTTTTTCTTTTTTTTTACCCCTAAAATGTCAATTTTTTAAATAATAATAATCATAATTAATAATAATTTAACTTTATTGACATCACATTGGAGAAATTCGCCTCTGCATTTAACCCATCCCCTTGGGGAGCAGTGGGCTGCCATCGTGCGGCGCCCGGTGAGCAATCAGGGGTTAAGAGTCTTGCTCAGAGACCCACAGTGGTCAGGCTGCGGGAGTGGGGCTCAAACGCAGAACCTCAGGATTCCAAGCTCTATGCCCTAACCACTAGGCCCCCACTCCCTTTTTTTTTCTTTTGTATTAATTGATCTTTTATTGATCTCAAATTGGAGAAACTTTTTGTATAGTGCACCTGCAGCATTCTTGAATGATAAACTAAGGCACTTTTTGCAAACTTAGTTCAGAAATGCTTTTAAAACCAGACTTATCCCAACAAACACACACGGTTTGTAGGGATTTGTTTAGATTTTGATCATTGATTCATTTTTTTATGTAAATGTTTGTGGATTCAGCTGCATGTGCTGTTTTCTGATAGCAGTCTCACTGTTTCTGTTCTTTGTTATGTCTCTGAGGAAGGATTAACACGTCGATTCTAACTGTGATCAATAACACCTTTACTACAATCCACCGGGTCTGTATACTGTCTTTCCAAACAGACAGACTTTCCTGTAATCTTTTAAAGTGGTCTTAATGCAGGACTCTTCTGGCTTCTTTTAGTTTTTTCAGTGGTAATCTGAGTTTTCTTTGATTTTATGTTGCATAAATGTAGCACGGCTCTGCCTCACTCACACTTGTAGTCAATCAGCTCACTGTAATAGCACTAAGTCCCTTAGAGAAAAGACAAATTCAGCACATTTCCATTTGTTTTGTTTTTTTGTTTTTTTTTTACAAAAAGCACAGGTAGTCAGTACGTGGAGTCTAAAGATAATGGAGCTAAATTGGGGCCATAAAGTTAATTCAATAAAAGTAAAAATAAAATTAAAAAAAATTAAATTCAACCCTTAAAAATAAGCCTATGTTCAAAAGAAAATGAAAATAAACTGAAACAAATAATAAACCTAAAAAATAAAAGTTTGATCAAAAGAATAACTCCTTTTTCAGGTGGAAGCTTTTGTTTTTGAACTTGCATTTTTTTTTTTTACTTGAATATTTTTCTTTTTTTTTTTCTGGCTTCAAACTTATAGCCATGTTTTGGCGTGGGGGGCGGGGCTTCAGATGTCCAGTGACTCCCAAAAAAGTTGAAAAAGTTACAAAAACAAACCACTGGAGTTAGTTTTCAAGCTTGAAGACGTTTCGCTTCCCATCCAGGAAGCTTTCTCAATTCAAAGAAAGAAAGCTTCCAGGATGTGAAGCGAAACGTCTTCAAGCTTGGAAAACAAAGTCCAGCGATTGTTTAACTCTTTTTTGATTGACTATGACCTGGATGACTGAGAATCTCCATCAGCAAATCATGGCTGACAGCTCAACACTGGCTAAACAACCTATTCCCAGCTGTTGCCTTTAAGGAGCGTGGGAACTGGGAATGCCTTAAAAACATCATCAGCATTTTATGTGTATGTGACTGGTTTGTTCAACTGATAGAAAATTAGTACAGCATTTTAAGTTTGTTTTGGATATTTTCCTAAGAAACTCGAGTCTGAAAATTGTTTTTTCTTTAAAACAAACTTTTTTTCCCCCTTTTTTTAACAGACTTTATGGCGCCAATTTAGCTCTACAAAAGAAGCTCCAACATAGAAAAGCCTTAAAGCCTAAGTTGGCCCACTATAGTAGCATCTGTTTGAAGCAGCAGAATGCAGGCTAGCTAACTTCACAGATTGTCTGAATAATTATAATATATAATAATAATAATGTTAGTGGTGTTTCTTTGAATATCCTGCACAATTAACTTTAGCTTATGTTTATTCCGTATTCTTCTGTAGGTCTGTCTATAAAAATTGACACATTCAATAGATAAAATATTTATAATTCCGCAAATAAAAAAAAAATGTAAAAGCATCTGAAACGCCTTTGATCAAAGTTCAGAGACTGATTTGAAAATTGTAGCAGCAGACCTACATCACATTTACAGGTCTGCGAAATATGGAAATCTCATTCCAGACCAACAAAGGAACCAGACCTGATCACAGTGCTGTATGCTTAGGATTTGAACTGTATGCTAAAACCATACAAATTTTACAACATTTCTGTGTATAAGTAGATATTTATGGAAGCCAGTTTCTGCCACTCTGAAAAAAAAAATTAAATATCTCATTATGATGAGATAGTAACTCAATATAATGAGATAGTATCTCATTTTAATGAGATACTATCTCATTATAATGAGATAATTTATTTTATTTTTTTACAGAGTGGCGGAAATGGCCTTCCATAGGTATTTAAAGATTTCCTAAACCCTTTTTCAAACTACAGTATATCTGTGGTTCTACAAAAATGGATTTAGATCCATTGCTTCTGCCCTACCTGTGTCTTTCTTTTTCCCACCCAGAGTGTAAAAACATCCTACCTCCTGATTGTTAGCTGGGCCCTTTTTAACCTGTTGCTGCTGGTCACTCAAGTGATTAAGAGCCTTGGCCACAGAAAGCGAGCTGCTCTTGATCCTCTGCTGAAGCTCCATCAGCTGCTCAAGTTGCTTCTGATTTGGTATGAAGGTATCGTAGGTGCCAGAGACGCTGTCCTCTTGCCTTTGTGCTGCAGTGTTTAAAAAAAAAACAACTTTTACTGATCTGAGAATTTAAAAAGTAAGCACTATATCTGTATAAACCAAAGTAAACTGTTGTTTAAAATGTGTATTTTTGTATGAGGCACACAAAAATGTGATTACTACTGGTGACTACTGGCCCCATGCTGGTTAACCCATCACTCACCTTGTTTAGACGTAAGTGAATACACATCAGTATCCCCTTTGGGTATTTTCTTCTTTTTAAAAACTAGACAAAACAGAGGATGAAAACATGTATTAAAGCTTTCCTCCACAAGATGGAGCCCTAAACTACATATCAAAACAGACAGAAAAACCTAAACAATAATTCAATCTTTTAACATATTTGCATCTGGTCTGTATAGAAAGGCACATAGAGACAGGCATCTACTTTGTTTGTCCCGGTGTAAGACTTACATGCTCCTGGGTTGAATTATGCTGCATTAAATTATGCTTTTTTAGCTCCGAATGAAAGACTACACTGTTCAGCTGTCATTTGCAATGAATCTGAAACTGTGTGACCAATGTTGGATAATAGGTCCACATCCATGCCCTGGAAGATGATCTAAGCCTACGCAGAAAGGCTTATTTTATAGGCAGAGGCAGAAGAAAAGCACCGTATAGTTTATATGGTCGAATTTTTCCATATTAAACTTTAAATATGAATAGAAGGAGACTCCAATTTACTCCTGCATCCAGAAACTGGCCCCTCTCCTAATCCTGCACCAAGCCTCATCTCTCCTCTCCCATATCTCAACTCAATCCTCATGTGGTTTGAAGCTGCTCCGTCTCAATAGATGGAAACCTCTCCTTTTCTCCTGTACGCTCAGGGGACAGGCGAGGACGGTGGAAAACATGTGTAATGACTTATTCTGGCTGACTTGGCCTTGGCCTGTCCAAGATTGGTTGCAGATGGCGGTAGCCCCGGTCGGTCTCTCTCTCCCTCTCTTACCAAGAGGATGGTTTGGAGACAGAGAATCCTTCCAAACACTTATTTTCTTGTTTTGCTTTGTAAGCTCCATTGGGAAGAGAAGTGGCTCAGCATATGCATGCAGACTCAATAAAAATCCATTGGTATGGGTTCATGCAGAAGAAGATTAGGTACGGATGTGATGTTGTTCATACATATGTTGTTCATACATATATTTTTCATCTGCAAAGCAAGTCAGAGCTGTTTAATGATGCATAAGTCTTAATAATACCAGTCACTTCTGGATCTTTCGACTGCATGAAATATTCACACAGCTGAAATTGAACATTTAGGAAACATGTGGGCTCTCGATGCAGGCAAACGTGTCTTTGTGTAGCCTTGGTGTTGTTTGTTTGGCAATAGGGAGCGACCACGCTCATGTGGTTTATGAAATCAAAACAAACCATGTTACACAAAAGGCTCTTCGCCCTGTTCGGCAGCACTCCAATGCACGGATTCCAGCCACTTTCCTACATCCTGCATCAACTCCCCTTCAGATTTCAGTCTTGTTTGCTCTCACAAATTATCTCTCGTTGCAGCAATAAGCCATTAAATCCCCCTACTAGGGATGTTACCTTGAGCGATGTATGAGGTTCTGCTCTCTTTCAACTGCATGCATTCAGGCCTGGGCGTAGGCGCTGGAGGTCGGTTGGCAAGGATTACAGCCTTCTCAGAGTTTAGGTTGGAGTTCGAGTCCTCATTCACCCCGAGTGGTGCATAAAGATCCTCATCCTCCCCATCAGGTTGTCCTTGTTTTCCTAAAACAACGATGGAGAGAGCCTCTAATGCATGTTTCCTGAACCATAATATCCTGATCACTGAGGAGAAAAATACATTTTTTAGAGTTTGGAAACTCAGTCTTGGGGAAAAAACTAAGCAGAACCCTGCTGTTTTCATGGGTTATATAACAGATGAAAGCAGCAATTCAGTTAAATTCAAGACAGTTCAAGGTGTTGCTAATTGTACTCCACCACTGGCGGACCAAGTATTCAGCTATAGTACTTGAGTAAAAGTGTTGATACTCGTGGTCAAACCTGACTTAGCTACAAGTAAAAGTTGATTGGTGAAATATCTACTCAGGACAAAGTACTGAAGTATTCACCAAAAAAAAGTTGTATCATTTCATTGCTGTATAATTTACAGAGTAACTTTACAAAACCTTGTAACTTTCAGAAACCACCTGGTGTATTGACATTTATAAGCTCTCTGCTACATCACCTGCAAAGAACATCAGCTTAAAAACACCACAAAAAAATAAGGACAGCCGTTTCGGTTGTTATTTGTTCTTTAAAAACACACATAAAACAAATAAAAAAAAAACTGTAGAGTCTCGACTCTACTCACACTTTCACTATGGGATAGAGGTTTATGGGTGGAAAAATGTACTTAAGTACAGAAATCAAGTAAATATGTTTGTCCCTGTCCACCAATGCACTGGACTTATAATAAGCCATTGTCAATATATTTATAAAAGCATAACATTTTTGCTAAATGCTGATCTTGGGAACGTAGAGATATGTGCATTGCCACAGAGAAAAAACAGCATAAACTACTATAGAAATGCAACCATTGCTGCCTATCAATCTTGGACTGAGGGAGTAAGCTGCCTCAAGACTACCACAAGACTCCTGGACCGATGTCCATTTGACGCTTGAGACAGAAGGACAGATATTTGGAAAAATACAGAATAAACACAAATCAACACCTTATACCAACATGGAGGTAAAGGGAAAATGATTTTCTCTTGATTTGCAGCTGTAATGCATAGGTACCTTGCATTTAATCAACTGTTTATTCATCTATATACCAAAGTATTCTCTAAATTGGAGGCCAAATAAGTTATAAGGTCGATAAACCCAAACATAGCAGCAGATTTACACAGAAAGACTAAAACTAAAACTATAACTTGAAAACTGTCGGTGTGCTCGGTTCTACGGACAGCGTTTCCTTCACTTTGTTTTATTTTGTTTAAAAAATGATGTCAGTTTTTGCATCTCATGTGATTTTATACCCTTTAGTTTAGTTTCAGATCATTTCAGAACCTGGTAAAGACAAAGGAAACACTCACCTGCATTATACATCATTTCATACACGTCGTTGTCCTCCCCTGAGCCAAGCATTTTCTGCAACAAGAAAGCAGAGAAAACTTTATTGCTTTTAAAAGACACAAAAGGAGCAGTTTCTGTTGACTTAAATTCATAAAAGGCTGCCATTCATGTCTTATATTGAAGGTCACTTCTTGCCATACAGTGACAGAAGAATGTTTTTTGTGAGTGTTCACGAGTTGTGCTGTGTGATAATCTTTTTTGTTGCAGTATTTTCACAAGCAAATAAAGTAGAGACGACTGTCCATAAAGCCGGCTGTGCATCTGACAGCAATGAAATGTTCAGTGTTGTCATAACTGTTGTGACATTAATAATTAAGGCTTCCCTCTTCTTTCAGGGTTTGTAATTTAAGGGCTGTAGCATGACGTTCAGGGGTGTGCTGTAATGCTGCCCCCTGGCTCGCAGAAAGCAGGGTGTTTTTTTGTTTCCCCATTTAACAGCAGAGCTGCCTATTTGCTAATTGCATGCTGAGAGACAGACAGGGCTATGATCAGGCTAATTATGAAATCAGACAATCTTCCCCCTACAGTTCAAACATATCATTTAGGAAACAACTCATGAATTGTGGATTGATTCCCAGTGGCATCGGTGTACAGATCTAGCAACGACAGCAAATAAAAAATATTAGAAGATTCCTTAATATTTTTTTTTACATTAGAATAAGGAAAAGTCTCCAGTCGTAACCTTTCTTGTAATTTTATACATTTTCTTTTTAATACCAAATGGGCTTTAAAGGTCTGCAAAATTTATGAGACGCAGCTCACTCGGATCAAAATATCACCATCCAGCACGCTGAGATCTGTCTGCAGTTTCCAAGCAACACAGCCAATCATGACTCCATTACAAGGCCGAGCTGTTCCTAGAACTGCAAATGAGCTATTGGCTACTATGAATGCATTAATTGACAGTTGAGATTCTTTGCAGACCCAACAGGTTGAAGAAGCAGTGGGGGTGGGGGGTATTATTTACCAACTGTTCCAACGTTCCTTAGAATGCTGTGGCAATTTCAAAGGAACTGGAGAGGTATTTATTTACTAACCGCAAACTGCTAAATCATTTTACAGATGTCTAAAAACTATGGAGCCTTTGGCATTCTAGTCAAGTCTAGTTTCATTGCTTTGTTGCTGCAATGTGAGCAGACAAAGCTGGAGGATTGATTTAAAATGGACAGGAGATGCTGATAACATCTAGGAGGAATAGGGGGAGAGAGAGTGTAAACCTGGACACTTTAAAAACAGGTTGGTTTAATCTTTTAAGGGCAGCCTGCTGTTTGTGTGTTTATATTAAAATACACAGTGGTGCCAGTATAAACATATGTTCGATTGATGACAAGCTGCAGGGAGTAGCACTACACCCATCACACAAACACAGAGACGTTGTTCTGCGGGAAGATAAAACTGGAATCTTCTGCAGAAAAAAATTGTAAAAAAGGACAACTGTTTTATTTAAAAGAATAAACTTACATGCAGTGTTAGGACTTAGACTTAGTCTAACTTTATTGTCTTTTTGTACACATAGGGTGCATACAAAACGAAATTTCGTTCATACAGCTCTGAGAATGAAAAATGAAAGTTTTCATTGATAAAGTGCAGCAGTGATGAAAATGTAAACAGTGTAGGAGAAACATGGTGCAAAAAGCATTGATGTGGAAATTCAGAGCAGTGCAAAAATAAATAAATATATATATATGGTGCTAAAATGCAGTAGAAACATATTGAAGATTCACCATGTAGTGCAACTATGATGTCATCAGTGTGATGCAGAGTCTCCATTTGGGACTTATTAGGGTTTTCAACAGGCTGTGTGCAGTGGGGAAAAAGCTGTTACAGAACCTAGCGAAAATAAAATCAAAAATCTAAAGATAATTAAGATAAGTATAAATCTTAATTACCTTTAGATTTTTGAGTGGGTGGGGTCGTGAGTGACCCCTCACACCCCAACCATGGACTTGTCCAGCCGGCCCAGCAGATTCTGTTACAGCTTTTCCCCCGCTGCCATCAGACTGATAAAAACTCTAATAAGTCCCAAATCGAGACTCTGTATCACACTGATAACATCCTACTTGCACTACATGGTGAATCTAGAATATAGATGAATCAAGATTTATATTTATCTTAATTACGTTTAGATTTTTCTTCCAAATTTATTATCAGCAGTAATATAGATTTTTTTAACAGGCTTTTAACGGTGTTTTAGACTTCTGTTACTTTTGTCCTTTTCTTATTCCTGACTGTTTATGCTGCACATAATTTGTCTAAGAATGTGGTGAAAATCCCCAAATTACATCAGGCATGAAATGATGTTGCATTAGTAAGGAATTGGAAAAACAATGGGATCTAATTGTTTTGACGGAAGCAGTTTTAAATCATCAGTTGGCTTTTGGCAATTCAAGCCCATGTTATCTTAGGCCATATGCTACCATTAACAATTCAAATTCATATTAGCAATGGAAGCTACTGTACTATTGAAAGAAATAAGCTAAAGTAACACAGAAAAGGTAACATTAATATTACAAGCTGCTATTAGTAATATAAGATCCCTCAAATAACAAGCTTATAGGAGAAAACCTATTAATAGCAATACAAACAGCTATGGAAGCTATGGTTATAAAAGTTACTACAGTAATGCTACAGGCCACTGTTCTGAATATAGTCTACTGTGATTAACATGAACAAACCTGCATAGTGCAAAGAAACTGATTATTTACAAACTGTGGGCACCTAACTTCAACCGCCATTCTGTTAATTTATTGCTTCATTCAGTATCTCTTTTCAATGTTTATTCCAGTTAATTTTAATTATCTTCCCTCTTGTTTAGCAGTTTTTTTGTGTATTAGCTTCCTGTATGAAATACTCCCGCCTCCATTCTTGCTTCATTGCTAATGCCTCACCTGTAGATAGTGTCATTCTCCACTCTTCCCTCAGCATTTAAGCCACTGTTTATCTGTGTTTTATATTGGATCCTCTTCTTACCCTTACCATTGCTTCTTCTCTGATTGCTTTCTTTTCCATCGCTACATTATTCTGCCTGTGCCCTTATTCTATATCCTGTAGAATTTCTGTCATTTTTATTAAATCCTCATTATGCACATTCCACGATCCTGTCTGCACTTTGGTCCTATTGAAATCCATATTACAAAACATTTTTTTGACTTGGAACTTGGAATAAATGCCTTAGTGTTAAATGTCACATTTCACATTCGGCTCACATTTTAAAACCGTGCAATTAAGCACATTAGGATACTAACATTAACTGAGTTGCTATGACGATCAAATGAATACAGATCAGCTTTTGTGGTACGTGTGGCACAACCTTTCAAGTTCTCATCTCATTAATGTTTCTTCAATGTAGCACAAAGAATTTAATCATCCAGTCTGTTGTTAATGTATAATCTGAGTAAAGGGAACAGTTCCCTCAAACAGGGTGATAATAATTACAGCCTTATTCAAATAATAAACAAATCTTTGGAGTTTGCCTGTCTGAACTGTCCTGCAAATTATACTGCAAACACAGTATGCAAAATAAAGTCAGAGGACTTTACAAATCCCAAGGGAAAGAGTGGTAATAGAACAACTCATTTGGCTTCCCTGAATTAGGACGAGTGTACACACTGCAGAAAGAGTGCATATTGCACATAAATGGCTATTTGTTCTCTCTGCTGAGCTTACAGTTGGAAACTAATTTGTATTTATTGAGAGTACACAGGGAAAAAAACTCAGGCTGCTATTGAAATAGCACTCCTAAATTTACAACATGACGTGTGTTTTTATGTCTGTAATCCACCAAGCATGATTTTACAATACAAGAACACAAACACTATGAGTAAGAGCACCCCATTCACCATATTTATTTATATCCGAGCCCCGTTCTTCTTGAATAATTCAGGAAGAACCCCCCCAGCCCCGTTGAGGCAGTTCACAGCTAATTAACAAAGAAGTGTGAAGCCATGGCCGGCTAGTGAATGTGACGCTGCGTCCGTGAGTGATTCAGCCTGAGAACGTGGCAGGGGACTTATCCATCTTGGATTTATTGACAGAGTGCTGCTTCGCTACCGAGCAAATCACTGACGCATCAAGGGCTGATTAATTGGAGGTTGGGGTAGACGTAGCAGATTGGTTAATGAAAGTGCAGAAGCTCAGCTTACAGCTAGGACCCAGACAATTTATTAGCAACATACATACAAGCAACAACCTCATGTACAATTGTGGCTTTTGAGGTGAAATCACCCTAACAGTAGATGCATGCTTGTGCATGTTGAAACTGATGTGCTACAGCTATAGGCTTGTTAGGTCCCTGTGGAGAGACCTGTGTTTGACTCCAATGCTCCCCTGGCAGCTCGTTGCAGGCTTACAGCAAGCTCTCACTGCAGCAGTCTGATCACATCATGCTCAGTCTGCAGTCACTCTCAATTAGCCGGGCTGCTGGGATGATAAGTACATCGCAACAGCTGTTAGGGTGTCTAAATTTCCCTTGAGGAAAGATTCTCCATATGCTGACTTGAGGCATGAGGGAAAGTCAAAAGACTAAAGGAAAAGAGTGATGAGAGCGGAGTCTTTTTAATGTTTGATGAAGGGATTAGGCATATTTGTTGCAGGCTAAAAATAGACTTTGACAGCTGCATTTAAAGGATGATTGAGGAAAACTTACTGGCTGTTTTAGTAGGTAACCCCACTTGCAATATAAAGTTGGAACCTAATTTGCTTTCAGAACTGCCACAATGTCAGGATGTAGAATGAACAAGGTGTCTAAACCTCCCGTTCAACCACATCCCAACATGCTCTATTACTGTATCATCAGAGTAGGAGTAACTCATAGCACGGTTTAAGAAACTGACCTTTTTTTGACATCTGAGGGTAACCGGTTGGACCAGATTGCTTTTTTTATGTTGTCTTTGTCACATAGAATCCCAATAAAATACAAGTTTGTTATTTCAAGATGAAAGAAATGTAAAAAGTCTAAAGGGTTTTATTTCTCTTGCATGGCGCTGAACAAACCCAGCCTAGTTTCTGTGGGGGCGTTTCAATAGAAAGCTTACAGACTGAGCCTTCTTCAAGTTGTGAAGATGCACATGACACGATTTAGCTCACTTTGCCATCTCTTTATCCTCTCAGTTGTGCTCATTATGGATAAACGCTTCTTACTCAGACTCGCTGGAGCATTTCTGAAAGTACCACTTTTTTTTTTTTCCCCTCAGCACTTGTCATTAAATCAATCCAGCAACAGATAAAAGTTAGAGATACACAATGAAAGAAGGGAGAGCCAAGTGTTGAAGGAGTTACCAGCGTCTCCTTTAGCATGGTGTGAAGCTCTGTATGGCCGTGACTTTTAGCAATCTCTGCTGGGGTCTGTCCATGTCGATTGGTCATGCGCAGAGCTCGTTCAGCACCCGGACACTGCAGAAGCAGGCCTGAGACGCTCCTGAATCCATAGCGAGCTGCAAAGTGGAGGAGTGAGGGCACGTCCCCATGGTGGACCTCTGCAGGGAACATTTAAACAGATATGAGAAAACCCTTTCAAATCACTCAAAAGAACCCTAAAAATGAGCATTAAATACATTATTCTATGATGCTTTTAGGAGTTTAGCGTTTCTTTTCCAACTATGATTTGTTTCTTTGGAAGGCATTTGCCAATGATGTAAAGCAATGTGGTCAATCTGACACATCCAGGAGAGTCAAAGAAAGATTACTTGGAGGCATTTTATTGACCTGTTTGTCATGGCAACATCTCCCTCTGCCCTTTTTAACGGAGTAAAAGATCAATCCCACTAGCTGATGAAGCCATCAGTCTGCCACATAATGAGCTGAGAAATAATGGATTGCCTTTTTTTCCCCTTATGGTGGATAATGTTCATCAAGCTAGAAGATTGTGCTCTCACTTTGTTTCATCCTTTTAAATTGGCTTACAATGTTGTATTTAGTTTATAATAGTTTAAGAATATATTCATTTATAAATAAAATTTGATAAATTAAAGCGTTATTGGTAGGAATTGTCTTCAGGGAAAGTAGAGGAAACTAAGGTTTGTTGGATGACCTTCCTAAAGATGTGTATTAAAACAAGTGATTCACTCTGGGAAAATCATACCACAGTGAAAACTCTTTAAAAATCTCAAAATTGACCCTATTTCTCATTCCCTGGTTTTGTACCAAAGTCTCAAATTGTTCTTAATTTTCGGTTTTATAACTTTGCTCTTAAGATGCCAAAATTCTTAGAGTATTTCGACATTGTCATTATGGTCTTTTAGGGACTTTTTCTTTTAGGTTTGGGTGTTGTTGTTTTTTTTAACTGATTATAAGAGTAGTTCCAGATTTTTTTGAAGATATTGTTCTGATACTAAAGCCTCTAATTTAAAGGATGAACAAGCGTTGAGTCAAAACAGCCAAAAATCAAGTCAAGACGATCACCAACTGAAAATATTTCATTAATGCTTACATAAATATTGCTGTATGATAACTGTCATGGTTGAGGGAATAACCAGTTGTAACTCATAGTGTTGGTGTCAAATACGTATTCAAAATACTGCTGGCTGCTATCACAGAGCATGTTTCAGAAAAATACTTTCTAGCAGGTTGTATTGCTAACGGTAACCTTCATAACTGCTAATTATCTCCAACTTGATGATAGCAGCTAGCCTGTATGGTTAGCAGTAACACAGGGCTGTCAACTCTCACCCATTGGGAGTGAGACTCACCCATCTCAGTGTCACATACTCTCACTCCATATTCCCAATTTCTCACACTAAAAAGGATCACATCCAATGGTTTGTTTTCTCTTTACATGGTGCCTCTTTTAGTCCCAGTTTTTAGTCAAAGTTAAATAACTCAAAAAAATTAAAGGAACACTTTGTAATCAGAGTATAGCATGAAGTTAATTAAACTTCTAGGATATTGATTCAGTCAGGTAAGTAGCAGAGGTTGCTGTTAATCAGTTTCAGCTGCTTTGGTGTTAATGAAATTAACAACAGGTGCACTAGAGGGGCAACAACGAGACAACAATCAACACAGGAAGGGTTTTACAGGTGGAGGCCACTGACATTTTTCCCCTCCTCATCTTTTCTGACTCTTTTTCATCAGTTTTGCATTTGGCTAGGGTCACTGTCACTACTGTTAGCATGAGGCGCTACCTGGACCCCACAGAGGTTGCACAGGCAGTCCAACTCCTCCAGGATGGCACATCAATATGTGCCATTGCCAGAAGGTTTGCTGTGTCTCCCAGCACAATCTCAAGAGCATGGAGGAGATTCCAGGAGACAGGAAGTTACTCCAGGAGAGCTGGACAGGGCTGTAGAAGGTCTACAACCCATCAGAAGGACTGGTATCTGCTCCTTTGTACAAGGAGGAGCAGGAGGAGCACTGCCAGAGCCCTACAAAATGACCTCCAGCAGGCCACTGGTGTGAATGTCTCTGACCAAACAATCAGAAACAGACTTCACAAGGGTGGCCTGAGGGCCCGATGTCCTCTAGTGGGCCCTGTGCTCACTGCCCGGCACCGTGGAGCTCGACTGGCATTTGCCACAGAACACCGGAATTGGCAAGTCCGCCACTGGCGCCCTGTGCTTTTTACCGATGAGAGCATGTTTACCCTGAGCACATGTGGCAGAGCTGAGAAAATTGACTGGTTTGACAGCTCAGCATGACGGTAGCGTGGCCGAGCGGTCTAAGGCGCTGGATTAAGGCTCCAGTCTCTTCGGGGGCGTGGGTTTGAATCCCACCGCTGCCAATACGTTCAAAAAAACTATTGCTGCTGTTTATTGTACTGTCTATACTTTATATTAATCTTATCACTGTTACCTGTCATGTCCTGCACTTTGTCAGTCTGTAAATGTCATTCTTGTATATTTGTATATTCTAGAGAGTAAACGTAATTTCATCTCCCTTGTATGTCTTGTACAAATGAAGGAAGTGACAATAAAAGCTGACTTGACTTGACTTTGATGGTGGGTCAGTTATTGGTCTGGGGAGGCATATCCATGGAGGGACACACAGACCTATACAGGCTAGAAAACGGCACCCTGACTGCGATTAGGTATCAGGATGAAATCCTTGCACCCATTGTCAGACCCTATGCTGGTGCAGTGGATCCTGGGTTCCTCTTGGTGCACAAAAATCCCCGGCCCCATGTAGCCCCATGTAGTATGCTGGCAGGTCCTGGAGGATGAAGGAATTGATACCATTGATTGGCCCCCACGCTTTCTGACCTAAATCCAATAGAACACCTCTGGGACATTATGTTTCGATCCATCAGACGCCACCAGGTTGCGCCTCAGACTGTCCAGGAGCTCAGTGATGCCCTGTTCCAGAACTGGGAAGAGATACCCCACGGCGCCATCCGTCGTCTCATTAGGAGCATGCCCCGACATTGTCAGGCATGCATGCATACACACACGTGGGGGCCATACAAATTACTTAATACCATTTTGAGTTGTTGCAAAAGAATTTCAGCAAAATAGACTAGCCTGCCGCATTTTTTTACTGTAATTTTTGGGGTGTCTTTGAATTCAGCTTTCTGTAGGTTGATAATTTTCATTTCCATCAAATGATGTGGCATCCTTTTGTTCTTAACACATCATCCAGTCCATATCAGTATAAATAAACAGCATGATTTTTTTCCCCATTAAGATCTGATGTGTTTTCAAAGTGTTCCTTTAATTTTTTTGAGCAATGTAGTTTAATAATGGCATTTATGAGTAATTAAACCAACACAAATATATTAATAAATAAGTTTTTTAACTCTTAAAGCTTCCAGGTTTGCCTGAAGATCAGCCATCCAAGAAAAGACCAAACGCATCCACAGAGGTTGTGCAGAATTATTATTAATAATAATAAATCATTATTATTAATTTATTATTTCTTCTTTTATTCAATTATCTTTATTTTGGTCCAGTGAATAAGTTTAAAAACTTTATTTCCATCACTTCTTCCGAGTGAAACTTCCAGAGAAGGGCTGTCTCCAGTCATGGTGAGTTTTTATAAAAATCTACAGCCTCCTAGAAGGTCTGATTTTAACTAATAGCATAATAAGCAAATATGCTGATGAAGGTTCTCAGTCATCCAGGTCAAAGTCATTCCGTAAAAATTCAAAAAATATCCACTGGACTTGGTTTTCAAGATTTGAAGACGTTTCGCCACCTCTCCAGGAAGCTTTCTCAATTCAAATGTCTGGATCCGCAGTGAGTTTGAGTCTTATATAGACAACGCCTTGTATCGCTTGGAAACATCTGTCTTTCCACAACCTATTTCAAATTCAGAGGGAATTTTTACAGACAGAAGCATGGCTGCGCAATGGGATCTCCAGTATCACCAATTGTAGCCAATCTTTACATGGAAGAAATGGAAAAGAGAGCTTTAGACACTTTCAATGGAATACCACCAAGCCACTGGTTTAGATACGTGGATGACACTTTCGTCAAAATCCAACTAGAGGAAGTGGAAGCTTTCACCAAACACATCAACTCTGTTGACCGTAACATCAAATTCACCAGAGAGGATGCCAAGGACAACAAACTACCCTTTCTGGACTGCCTGGTGAGTATGGAAGGAGATGGAAGCCTAAACATTGAAGTGTATAGGAAACCTACTCACGCAGACCAGTATCTTCTTTTTGACTCACACCACCCACTGGAACACAAACTCTCAGTCATCAGAACCTTACAACACCGGGCAGAACATGTCCCTACTAAAACAGATGGGAAGCAAAAAGAACAGAAACACATCAAAGATGCTCTCCGAAACTGTGGATATCCAAACTGGGCTTTTATCAAATCAGCAAGGAAATCCAAAAGACACGCAACAGAAGATAGCGATGGGAAAATTAAACGCAAAAACATCACAATCCCTTATGTTGCTGGAGTGTCTGAAAAGCTCAAGACGATTTTCTCCAAACACAAGATCCCAGTACATTTCAAGCCAAACCAAACCCTTAAAGAGAGGCTAGTGCATCCTAAAGATAAAACCCCCAGACCGAATATTAGCGGAGTAGTATATGCTGTTCAGTGCAGCGAGGAATGCTCTGATCTTTATATTGGCGAAACAAAACAACCTCTCCACAGACGCATGGCCCAACACAGAAGAGCGGCCGCCTCTGGACAAGACTCCGCAGTACACTTACACCTTGTGGACAAAGGACATTCTTTTGAGGACCAGAATGTCCATATTTTGGATAAAGAAAATAGGTGGTTTGAGAGGGGCGTGAAGGAAGCCATCTATGTTAAGAGAGAAAAACCAACTTTAAACAGAGGTGGTGGACTCAGATTCCAGCTTCCAAAAACATACAATTCAATCATAGACATGATCCCTTCCAGATATCACCAAACCCCCCACCCCATCACAGAGGAACGGGGGACCTACCCGCCCCATCCGGTGAACAATACCTCCTTAACGACCAACCCTTAACAATCATAGACAGGTTTCAGGTATTACAGGAGACAATCCCCCCCCTTAATGGCAATCCCCCCTTTAACGACCGACCCCTAGAATCATAGACAGGTTCAGATATTACAGGCTAACGATGGAACTAACGACCCATTCATCGGTTACCATTGCATGTTTCCAAGCGATACAAGGCGTTGTCTATATAAGACTCAAACTCACTGCGGATCCAGACATTTGAATTGAGAAAGCTTCCTGGAGAGGTGGCGAAACGTCTTCAAATCTTGAAAACCAAGTCCAGTGGATATTTTTTGAATTTTTACGGAATAATAAGCAAAGCTTTTTAATCCTTAGCCTATTACCAAATACTTTGCATAGGTTATGATTGCAGTGGTTCCTGTATCAGTGCCAGTAATCCAATAATAGCTTATTAGTTCCCCATTGTTTAATTTACTTGAACTGCAGAGAATAATTATTGAAAAAAAGTTGTGAAATTCTTAGTTTAAAGTATATTTAAGATGCAAGTATTTCAGTAGGGCCCATTCTGCTTTATTTCAATTCTCTAAAAATCACCAGAATACAGAAAATAATGTATATTGTGAGAAAAATGTTCCACATAACTACAGACCACTTATTGTTACTCAGTAGCATTTACCCTGCTATAAAATTTCCACATTTTGCTGCTTTGTTTCAATTAAATCCACTGAAAACCTCCAACCTTTAGTTGCACCCATCCTCATCTAACCCTGACAGGATTTCCTGACCAAATTATTTCAAAATCTCACTCCAAGGTTTGGTGAAAATTTGGCAGCCCTGGTAACTTGCTAGGTTAACGGTAGCTTCTCTTAATTCCCCAAAAAAGACAAAGCTAAGAAGATATAGAATAAAAAATGTGTTTAAAAAAGCTAATTTAGTTTGTTTTTTTTTCGTTCCCTGACCAACTGTTTTTCCATCTGAGCCAGATGAATTCTGACATTGTCATAAGATTATCAGTCTGTAAGATTATCAGCAGTAGGTACAACAGTAAATATTGTTTCCCCACTAATCTAAATAGTACAGTTAAAGGTATAGTGGAGGATATTCTTTTTCTGACTGGATCATCAAAATAAGTGGTCCTCCTAATTGTCAATCATTACAAACAGCAACTTTTAAACAGCGTGCACAAGGAGAAATAGGCTTGTGAGGCTCTCACACACATCTAATAGGCGTTCCCTCTTAGGAGCAGGTAAAGGCTTGTGCATGTTTATTTGTTTTTAAAGTGGAGAGGGTTGGTCTTTCTCAAATATCCTCCACAATACCTTTAATTATAGTTTATAATATATAGTTTTAGTTAAATTGATAAAGTAACTTGTATTTGGTCAAATAGTACATTTTAGAGATTGTTTACATGTTGAAAGTCTGAGTAAATCTCCGTCTTGTTTAGGTATTTTGGCATTATGCTTACTAAGCAGCAATGTCGTTGTACCTCTTCCATGTGTGTTTTCAATTTGCAGTCCCTGAAAACCTCCTGTGGGCATCAGCTCCAGTAGAATGGAGGACAACTTCTGATCCAGCTTATCCACAGAACAAACCTGAAGAGCCTACAAAGCAGACAAAGTTTAAAATGTGCCTTTGATTTATGGCTGCAAAAGGAAATCTCCCTATTAAAGTCTAGTGTTTGAAACTCTCAGAATAAATCTTGAATTAGATGTACCAACTCAGAGAACAGAAGTTATATTGGAAATCCATTAAGAGACACCATAAAAATGTCATGTTTAATTTGAGCATACCAGCATCAAACTCCTGCCTCATGTTTGGTTTGTAAATGATCCTTCCTGTCATTCCTTAGGTTTGCTGCTTCAGCAAAACTGACCAAATCAAATCAAGTGTTCATCACTGAAAGGCAGATTGAACCTGCTTCCCATTCATTTTAGCAGACCACAGAGAAAATAGCATAGCAGACATATTTTTAAGACATTTAATTGGAAGTGTTGCTACAATCTAGCACACTTACAATTTATGTACAATTTGAATATAATTGTTCACTGATATGATGAGCCCCAATCAAATATAGAAAAAAGAAATTCTGATTATAGTTTTTGTTTGTTTGTTTTGTATGATTAGCACATTTCCACTCACAATAAATCAGCTATAAAGCAGAGGTGAAATAGCTGCTCCAGCAAGATGAACTTACTATGATTTTTTATAAAAATGTCCTGCAAAACTTGTTGAAGATACAGAAGCTGCAATTAAGTCGCCTCCTGCATGACCAGGCTAATAATTTAGCACAGTTATTTGGATATTTTGGGGAGGGATTTATTTAATGCAAAATACTCAGTAATAATAATCTTTATTTTTTGTAGCAGTTAAGAAAAAGTTGTTATTTAATATCTGACTTGTTTACTGGGTTTGCAGTTAAGCTTGTTCTGCAATCAGTTTCAAATTCCTATGGGAACTTGCATTGTTAAATCTAAACCAATTTGTATTTTACCTCCATCTCTTTGTTCCCTCCAATACAATTTTTTTAAGCAACAGATCATGTTCAGAAATCTATAGGAACAATGTCAGTATCAAACATTGGAGAGTGTTTGCGTAGTTGGTTAGAGCAGTACCAGATTCAAATCCGACTGCCTCCACTCTGGGTTCCTGAGCAAGACCCTTAACCCCACCCTGCTCCCCAGGCACCGCACAATGGCAGCCCACTGCTCCCCAAGGGGATGGGTGAAATGCAAAGAGTTAATTTCGTTGCTCTATAATTGTGACAGGGTAATGAATAAAAAACATTGCGGAAACAAAACTATAAAAACTAATCTAATTTTATGCCTTAAATGGGAATGGGCCTGTGTAAAAAAACAACAACCTGTACTCTGTATTCCCCCCAAAATAACTTATGGAAAATTATTGTAAGCCTTCTTCAGCAGAGGTATCAAGTAACAACATACAGATACTTCATGACCTTACTTAAGTAGAAAATTTGGCAATCTCTACTTTACTGGAGTAATTATTTTTTAGAATTTTTAGAATAGAATAGAATAGAATAGAATAGAATATATTAGAATAGAATAGAAAATCCATTTATTGTGCCACAATGGGGAAATTACTTCTACTCCTTACATTTTTGACAATTATGTCTACTATAATTGTAGTAATGTAAATATTATAGTTTTGACACCTCTGTTCTTCAGATATGCAGTGCTCATTGTCACCTCGGAAAGGTAAATATTTGCTTTTAAACCAGGATAAAAGGCTTACTTCTTTACCCCGAATGTAAGGGTTCAAAATAATTTCTAAGAGAGTATATGTAATTCCTGGATAGTAGGAACAAACTCTCAAGTCTCTATCTTCAGAACTTTGACCCCCTTCCTGGTCTGTCACTCCATAGATGTTGGCCATATCAATTAACACCATCAAAGCCCAACAATGTCCAGAGGTTTTAGCATCTTGGCTTGAATCCTAAATTTATGCAGTCATGAAAAACATTATTAGACTCCATTTTTCATCAAAAGCAATAATTACATAATCACACCCTAAGGCCTATGTGTATCATGTGACTAAGCCGACAGAAAATAAAACATGGGGTGGCTCGAAGCTGTTTGTGGCTGTAGAATGTTAGCTATTGATTGATGTAATTGAGTGATTTTGGTCATTATCAAGAAAACATGCAAAAATGGCTAAACGATTACTTTTGTTTTGTTATAACCAACAATAAAATAGAAAACTAGAAGGTGAGGACAAAAATGGTGTTCTATTTATTTATTTTTTTCATGACTCTATATCAAAAAATATATGGCAAAGATTGCAAAATTCTAATCTTTATTGTTTTTACTAAAGGCTGTGTTGTCATTTTTATATCAGCCTAAGGATATTCAAACATGTGGTAGACCATGTATAAAAGTTTTGAAGAAAATTAAAGGAGTTACCTGAAACATGAACTCTACAGGGTCTGCAACACTCGAGAGAAGACTGTTGAGTTCTTCAATTCTTGTGTAGTACTGCAATTTAGAGCTGGCTAGGAATTTTCCACAACTGTACAGAGTCACCCTAACATCTCCTGCAGCGAAGTCAGCTGTAGAAAACACACAGGATTAATTGGAAGGAAAAAAAAACACATCTGAAAATAGCAGTCATACATTAATCATATGTTGTTGTCTACCTGGTGTCCTGACACACAGGATCTGGTCACTCCAGCGAGCAGGCTTCACTCTCACTATCTGCCTCTCTGCCTTGAACTCAACCTCACACTCGCTGCCAGCTGAATTGTTTTTCAGGAGTATGAACACCTCAGAGGAGCTCTGCCAGACAAGACAGTATAGAAGAGTTCTGTGTGAGCTTGGGTTATAGCTGCCTTCTCAATAAATGGATGTGTTGCCAGAGAACTTACCCCACAGGGAACCCTCGAGGGAGTGATAACAATGTTTGAGTTGACCCTGTCAGCTGCAGATGACTGCATCACCTCACCGCTTGGCTCGGATTCAGGTGGCCTATTCGCCAAGGGGTTCATATTGGCCTTGGCTGATGCACCTGTAAATGATTGGAGAAGATTATTATGCATCTCCAAGTATATGTCGATACCAGCAGACAGGAGCATGTTAGCTCTATGCATCTATAGCGTTTATTACTTGGAGAATTCTATATCTATTACTATTGCTATTGGATATTTTAGTCCAATAACAGAGGCATGCATCAGCAAACAAAGGTATTGTCCCAAGTGTAAAAAATATATTGGAAAGGCTGAGTTCAGTTGTCTTTTATTATGAAAAGTCGAATTTTGACCCCATTTTTGCCCAATGCAAAATGAACAATTGATCAGTGAGTTCTAGTTTCCTATTGTGTCAACATATCTTCTATTTACAGTTTCTGCTTCAGTTTAGAAAGAAATTGAGAGTGAACTCCCAACATAGGCAAACTACTTCACAATTTGCTGGTGAAGATTCTCAGTCATCTAGGTCATAGTCATTCTAAAAAAGTAAAAAAAAAAAAAAAACAATCCAATGGACTTTGTTTCCAAGTTTGAAGACGTTTCGCTTCCCATCCAGGAAGATTTTTCAATTCAAAATGTCAGAAATATCATTTAGTTCAAGGCTTTATAGAGGGAACCAAAAACCTGATTCCTATACTTTTGAACATTCTTTTTCATGACCCACCGTTAAAGTTTTATTAGTTGCAGAGTTACCCTTACAACGTTTTTAAAAGTTTCCTTGTGGGTTGCAAACATGATTTTCATTTGTAATCAGAGGCAGACATTTCCAGTCTTAAGGAAAAAACTCATCCCCAACATTTCCTGTTAACCCTGATTTATAAATCCTAAATATCTAACAACTATATAAGACACTTTTACCATTAACCTTATTTTCGGTTTTAAAAAGAAAAAAAAATTTAAATCATATTGTACAAGTATTTATCCAGTAACCAAAAAGTAATAGGCTGAAGCCTGGAGAATATTTTTTGCCTATCCTATACTAACATTAAAATATTTCCCCCCAAAAAACAAACAAACAAAAAAAAAGTAGTAAAGTTGAAGTTAAAGTAATCATTTGCCTTCCAATGGGTTTAATCGCAATCCTTCACAATATACAAAACTGTACAGATTGCTCACTGTTGATCGTAGTGTCGACACTAACTGCTATAGCACTACAGGATAAAAAATATATGTCGTTCTCCATTGCAATTATTCTAGCACTCAGCAAGTTCTGTGCAACTGGTTCAATGAGATAAGAAGCATCAGATTTACAAATTAGGAATGATATTATCAGGGCTGGGCCCAGGGCAATAGCGAACTACGTGACTGCTTAGTGTACCATGACAAGTATGTGGTTAAATACCAGAGTATTCAGCTCAAGCCAAGCAGATAAGGTCTGTACATGTTAATAAACCCAGATCAGGTGTTTTTATGGTCTGGGGACATTTGGAGGACACATATGGAAGTCAAGAGGTGATCGGAAATGCTCTAAAGAGAAAATTTTTTAAAACCTTGTCTGTACGCAGGCTAGGATATGCAATGATCCCAGTTTTGCATTGAATGTGTTTCATTAACGTGTCAATGTAGTGTCGAAAAAACACCAAAATACTTTGCAAAATCAGCTGTGAAAGTTAAGGAAACTGACATTACTTCCACAAACAGTAAACCTCACAATCCCGGACAAACAATGTCAGATACACAACAAACCTCACCCACTATCAATTTGTCATGGGTTCAGAGGAAGACATTCAGCTGAGGTACAGCAAAGCGGGAGACTGAAGATGATATACCCCCTATGGTCACTTCAAAGTGCACAGGAGATATGCGGTGGCCCCCCAAAGCCCAGATTCACTTTGAAAATTTGCTTAGTGAAGGCTTTCCATGCTGACCATCCAAGTCTCATCAAGTGTATGCTGTACTTGATGACCAGATAAATTTTTCTCGAGTAAAGTCAGTCTTCAGTCTATTAGACATCAACAACAATTCATTGCCCTACACTCTAGAACCAGGTTCTAGCACAATTGAGACTGCAGGGAGGAAGGCAAATAATATCATAGTGAAATCACTTGACGGGGAATATCAAGCTGAAACGTCCCTCTTTATTGGAATGCATCCATGTTCCTGATGACCGATCAGAGATCCCAACTCCTGAGTGTGCTCAACATTTCCCCCACCTGAGACCAACGGTTGATAAGATCTCCCCACTTGACAGCAGAGCTCCCATCCTAATGCAGTTTAGCAGAGACATTTTGAGCCTTCACAAGGTATGTGAACAGCGTAATGGACCTCACAACTTGCCCAGCGCCTTGAACTTGGTTGGGTCATAGTTGGAGAATTATTCCTTGGGGGTACTCGTAAGACAGAGGGAGTCAATACCTTGAGATGCATGTCCTCCAAAATGGATGCCCTTCTTCCTTAAGCCATATACAAACAATATCCATGTAAAAGACAAGGGAAAAGGACCAGCCCAGCACAGTCTTCAGACACCATTCCAGACTGTGGGGATCTTTTAGGAGACAGTTAAGGATGGTTTGAGTGAAAATTTGTCCCAGAGAACATCTAAAGATGACAAGCCAGACATGTCAGTGGATAATTTCTCAGGAGAATGGAAAAGGAAGTATAAATGAAAACCACTGGGTGGCACCACTACCCTTTTGTTCTCCATACAATCCACCTCCAAAAAATGGAGAACAGGCCTCTCAGAAAGTTTTTCCTCTCCAGCATTCATTCATAAAAACACCTGAGATTAAACAGCACTTCTTTGATTTTATGGAGAAGGTGATTGTCAATCACCAGGCCGAGCAAGCCCCCCAACTAAAACTATACCATGAGTGTTGTTGTTTACAAATATCAGCCCAAGAAACCAGTGAAAATTAATTGGTGTCCTCCTGAGATTCAGAAAAGAGCAAATAGCAGTCACAGCAGATTTTGAAAAAATGTTCTATGGGTTCAAAATCAGAGATGACCATTTCAACTACCTTAGTTTACTGTGGTATAGGGATAATAATCTGGATGAAGATGTCATTGACCACTACAGGAGTGTGCACGTGTTTGGAAATGGCTCGTCACCGGCAGTAGCAACATATGGGCTAAGGAAAGCTGGAGAACATGGACACAACTAGAACATGGAATGGAAGCAAAACAGTTTGTGTTCAGAAATGTTTATGTGGATGAAACACTTAGCTACTCCTAATGAGACTCTTGATCTCCTACATTAAATTAGAGCCATGTTTGCTGAGTCTAACTGAAAACTTCACAAAATAGCTTCCAATGAGACAAGCGTCATGGAGACCTTTTCCACACAATTTATCTCTGCATTTAACCCATCCCCTTGGGGAGCAGTGGGTTGCCATCCAGGGGCGCCCGGGGAAAAATCAAGGGTCTTGCTCAGGGACTCAGAGTGCCAGTCTGTCGGGGGTGGGTTTCAAACTCACAACCTCACAATTCCAATAACCTAACCACTAGGCCGCAAGTATTTTTTTAATATAACTAACTGTCACGGCCTTAGTTTCTGTTCAACTTTTATCCGTGTGTTTCATTGGTTTATTTCCTACTTTGTGTTTCTAGATATATTTTAATTCTCAGGTTTTTCTGTTGTTGTCCTCTGTTGCCCTCTTGTGTGTATGTTCCTTTTCCCTTGGCTTCCTCGTTGTCTCCACTCACACCTGCTCATTATCAGCTTGTTAGCCCTGCCTTTGTTCAGTCAGCCATACAGTATATATATATATATATATATATATATATATATATATATATATATATATATATATATATATATATATATATATATATATATATATATATATACATTCCCTTTGTTGTCACTCTTTGCTGGTTCCTAGTCGTCTCTGGTTCCTCTTGGCTGTTGTCATCATACCTCGTCTTACCCTGGCTCCTTGTGATTGTTTTTCCCTGATGTCTGTGTAACATTTTAAGTTGGATTTTTGCCTCAATTGTTTGTGTTTACTAATAAAGTTGCAAGAAATCACCTCAGCCTCTCCTCCTCTGCATTTGGGTCCTCTAAACCACAACCAAACTCTGACAACTAACATCCAACCACAGACCCAACCACAGACCCGATTCAGTGGCGCATCAGATAAAGTGAGCTTCTCAGGAGTGATAGTGGTGACAGCCAATCACGCAAGAAAAGATGGTGGGACAATTAGGAGCTTGTGGGCAGTCTAGACTCAGGAAAGCGGGCTTCAGCTTGAGTTGCAGTTTTTCGCTTGGTCCTAGAGCTCGATGATTGTCCGTGTACTGTAGTGTAACATATTTTTTGGACAGTAAAAGGAAAACAAAAATGGTTCCCACAAAAAAATGTATTCCATTACTGAGTGTATTTACTGGAATTAAAACTGTTGCAGGTAGTTTATACCTCTAAATCGTACATTGTATATTTCATTTTTATTACAGTTTTACAAAAAATAACTGAGAAGATTCAGTAAAGCAGCCTCAATCACAGCTACTGGGTCTCTCATTTTGTTCGCTATCTGTCAGCCAGGACAGAATAACCCCGGAGTTAGAATATAACTATTCATGGACACCTAGCCTGAAACACTTCACTCTATCACTGCATTGGAGAGATGTAGAGTGCTATTGAATTTGCATATCTTACAATGAGTAATCAGTGAAGGCCACATTTGCATCAAATGTTCCTCTTAACACACCTGTTTAAACACAACTCGCTAGTCTTTATTTGGATTTAAAACTGGGCATTATGAGGAAGGAGAGCGGAGAGACTGATGGAGCAGATGGGAACAAGATACCAAAAACTGAATAAGAAAAGGTTTTTAAAGCTTTCTCAAAGAGGCCAACAAGAAAATAGTATTGGTTTTCAGTTTCACAAAGCATCACACATATTTCCTCTTGGTTTATACAAACACCCAATGAGAAAAAAATTCAAAAAGCAGCACCTATATTTCCACTTAATTTATGTTTGGTTTACATTTAAATGAAACACTGTGTGGTATTTTAACACGTTTGCCACAGGCTAGAAATGAATGCCAACATAGTCTGATTATGTAATCAAATTGATTTTCAAGGTATAAAGAATGTTTTCCCTTTTTTTTTCTTATAAAAGGTCATTTCAATCCTAGAATATGATACAGAATACAGCTACTAGGCTATTAAAATATTTCAAAACCTCTTTACCTTACCTTTAAAGATCTATGATCAAACAAACAGCAGCTTGGAAACTATACTTTTTATTCTTATTTTGTCTACAACAGCTGGTATATATAATTTTATTAGGTTTTATCTGTACATTTTATTTTTGCATAACAAGTTTATTTCAAGAACATTAATTAGGTTGTTTTTTTATGTTGCTGTTTATTTTGCACATGACTAAGGGTGTTTATTAGTTTTAAAAGTTCTGCAAAGATAAACCTAAACTGATATAAAGAAAGATTAGAGTTTAAAACAGAAATGTTAGGCATGATCTCACCACCTGGCCTCTGAAATTCAACCCATAATTACATAAGATATTAAACCGTCCTTCCTATTGGTAATTTGAAAAACTTACACTGTGCCAACCACCAAGTAATATAAAAAGTTATCATTATTTATTTTGAAGCAATTGCCTTACCTTTTTTTATGATCTTTATCACACTGCCCACATACTCAGGAGGGTCTTGCTCAGAGGAGATTTGCAGGCATTCGTCACTGTTGATGGGCACCCTGTCCAGCAGTGGGGTCAGACTGTCCACCCCACAAAGCAGCACCACAACACAGGCGGCAGGACTCAGCACCCTAGACAGGAAGAAGCGTCTCATCTGGTGAAGACCCTCCAGCATTCCCTTAGAGAGGATCAGCAATTTGCAGGCATAACGGGAAAGCCTGGAAAAGTCATCCTTTCTGCTCGATGCCATTGCAATATCATAGCAGCAGATCTCATCCGCTGGGATTTGCCCAGTAAAGACCGACTGAAGGAAGGTGGCCCACTGCTTTGCCTCTGTCTCATAGATGATGAGTAATTTTTCTGTTGGAACACACAATAGTTTGCTTTAATATTTAAGGAGCAAACCCCAAAATGTTCCATGATCCAATATAAACTATTAATCATCTTCATCATTTATAATGTGATTATAATAATATGAGAGAATGTTAGTGTAAAAAAAAATCCTCCTACCTCTGCAATTCATGTCTACAGAGCTGCTCCTGTTGCCTGGTCTTACCTCACATGAACATAAAAACAGATGGGCTATTGTCAGGAGCAGTTCAGATAAGAGGGTGTTTCCTGCTATGTAAAATGAACCTTTTTTTTCCACAACATGGATGCTGATTAGCTGCCATGATCACAGTCAGGAAAGGTTCCAACACGCTATTTTTTTATCCGATTGATTTGTCAGGTTGGCAAAGTTTCATTGTTTTATGTAATAGAACAGCACAACATAGAAAATAACAATGAAATCAAAAGAGACATTTTAGATGGTTAAACGTACAAAAAAACAGGATTTGTTTTTTGTTTGTTTGCATTGATATGGAGACATACAACCATCCTGTTTCAAAAATAATTTCAAGACAATATTCTGTGATGGGGGTTTGTTAGAGAGCAACAGAGAGCGGGTAGCATTGTTAAAATCCAGGAAATAAAGTGATGTCAAGGCAACATATACAAATAAACCTGCTGGGAATTCTGGAGGAGCTTCTGAGGTTCACATCTCAGGTGTTAGAATGTGTAAAATTAGCCATGTACTCTGTAAATCAGTGTCATTGTCATCAGTTGGACTTCATAAGGTTTTGGTATTTAGGTTTCCTACATTTTGAGTTGTTTTTTTTTTGTTTTTTTTCCTGTTTTATTTTGGATAGTCTGTGACGTTTTTATGATTGTTTTTTTATTTTTCTTGTATCTACTGCCTTATCTGCTTACTACCTATTAAATCCCCATGATATAGTGGTTTATGGCATAGATACAATCAATAAATCCTTCACAAAACGTGCAAGTTCTCAGATGTTCTTCATCCACCCAAGCTGAAGTTTTGCTATTTTGCTAAGTAAAGGAGGAAAACATTTTTCTCTGTTGGACTTAAAAGTTGGTAGAGACGCACTGTAAAGTGGGCTAAATATGAACGCCCATCTCACTTTAACACTACAACTATGCATCTCCTTATCATGTAAAAATCATTCTAAATAAGTTTAATCTTCATGTGATATGACAATAAAATCTAGAAGTTTAAGGGTTTTATATACTTCTGCAAGGTATTGTACATGTGGATGAAAAAAATCCCACTTGCTAATTTTATGACGTGAAAACTTGGATTTTGCTGCATATAATAAACTTGCACTAGCTTATTTGCTGTAGCTATTATTATTATTACAGTAAGTCATATAATTTCGAGTAATAACTAGATAATCATGGTTGATGGAAGGGTGCAGTTTGAGGAAAAAGTTGCAGTGTGATCAGTCTGTTTAAAAAAAAAAGAAACTATGGTTGTTAGTTTTATTCTGATCTCATCTATTTTGAATAATAAAATTCTCAAGTAGGTAAAAAACTAGTGGAAAAAAAAAAGTGAGTGAAACTGTAATATCCCACAGCCACAGCTCTTGTTTTTTCATCGTTTTCCATATAAGGACTAAATGGGAATGTACGTATGAAAAGAGGAAAAAGGGTTAATAACAAAGGTGACTCCCTAGCAGACAACAGGTTACCAGGAAAATAAAGAGCCTGTGTTTCAGACCAGACCTGAGTTTAATTAAGTGTGCGTCCAAAAGAACCTGAGGCGTGTTACAACTAATGATCTAGTGAAAATTTCTCCAGTGAGAGCAGGAATAAAAAGGGCGCCTTGACCCAAACACGCACACATTCCCCCATTGAGGGGAATGTAAAACCCAGAGCTTCATTATCTGCTTCACTACCTGACAAACAACTGACTCATACAACACCAGTGTCTTGCTAGTACCATTTTGGTACCACTTATTTATAGAAGGATAAGAGAGGAAGCATAAATGTGAAAGGTGAGGTTACCTTTATGCAAATTTCTGGTAGCAGTAGCAGATAAAATCATTTCCATGCATGCATAGTCACAGTCATTCCCTCTATCATATTCTCATAGTGAAATCCTCAGGATTTCTGATGAGTTTCAGTTCAGCAGATTCTTCTTCTGCAGACACTTCCTGTATGGCACAAAGTCAGAATATCACAGCACCCAAAAGTGGTGGCATAAAACACAGATGAATGTAGCATCGATTAGTTAGAGTGAATGTGGCAATACTGTACTGAGAAAGGAGCCAGCAGAAAATGTATGGGGGTATTTAAATTTAGAATCATGTTTATGGAACCATACAAAATGGCAAATCTGTTTTCTAGATGTATTTGGCATTTTGTAACATGTTACAAAAAGTAGAGTTTTTTTTTGCGTGTTTTTCAGAAAGTTCAGTTGGTATTATCTGACCAGACTTTCTTTAGACTTATTTATGAAATATGTCAGATTTTTTTCTTCAACAATGAAGTCATGCAGTGCTATTTCATGTGGTGAGTATTTCCTGCAGCTTTAAAGCCATACGTGTCTCTCCAAAATAATGTTGGCCAATTGTGTTTTTTTTTTTTTTTTAAGATTAAACTATATACTAGTTTTAATTTGTTTGTTTTCATGTAATATCTGCATTTTGTTCTTAGAGAGCACATTAAGTGACATGTTGTTACATCCTAAATGCATTATAGAGAGTCATCGTAGATCCTTCCTCCCAGTGACATCGTAACAATCACAGCTCCCAATTAATTCCACAGATGTTTATATACTTGCTATCTATACCAAATTTTTACTTTTGTGATTATTTTGCATGCTTCCAGTTGGTTTTCACTCTGTTGCTGGAACAACTGAATTTCCTTACTGAGGGGCAATAAAGGATTCATGGGGCCACTGAATAAATTCACTCCTCTTTATTTTCCACAAATGCTGTGTTGGTATGTTAGGTTGAACTCATGTAGGATTTGAGGCAAGTTTTGGATTTTAAAGTTTACTGAACTCTGGCCAATAACAAAAACAATCCATCCATCCATTTTCTGTCACGCTTGGTCCCTTCTGGGGTCACGAGGGATGCTGGTGCCTATCCCCAGCTGTGTACGGGCAAGAGGCGGGGTACACCCTGGACAGGTCGCCAGTCAGTCACAGGGCAACACAGAGACAAACAACCATTCACACACACGCTCACACCTAAGGAGAATTTAGAGAAGCCAATTAACCTAACAGTCATGTTTTTGGACTGTGGGAGGAAGCCGGAGTACCTGGAGAGAACCCAAGCATGCTCAGGGAGAACATGCAAACTCCCCGGGCCAGGAATTGAACCTGGAACCTTCTTGCTGCAAGGAACCACTGAGCACCAACATAACAAAAATCATAATAAAATGTTTTTACAGTTTCAATATGTGGTCCTTGTAAAACCCCATTTTTAGCTTTGTACCACTGCTCCAATAAAGGCGTAACATCTACTGTACTGTAGTGTCTGTGCATTGTGTGGCAGCTGTGGGGCTTCAAAGGAGCGGGTCATCCAGAGGCTTATCAAGGTACCGTTACAAACCTTGGAAAAACTCGATGATTCTACCGTGTCATAGCCTTGGACATTTTAAAAGGGAAGGAGGCGCTGGAGAATTAAAAACCTGTTAAAACCTGCACAACCTGTTTGAAGTCTGTGGTTTTTCTTTGGAAGGAATAATTACATCAAACAATTTAAACACATTACTATACCGGTTAGAACAGGACGTAATCCCGAAATCTGTCAATATTCTTGTGTTTTTCTTAAGTATGTTCGTATCTTTTTGTTTTTGATGTACATTTATTTAATTCTGATACAAAGATATCTTACCAGATCTTATCTACACAGTATTTGGAGTTGATATTTAGTTGGGTCTCATTTTACATGAATGTCTTCATCAGTGCGTCATGACATTAAAGCATTCAGACTGTAAAGCTGCTGAGAAGTTAAGGAAGCACATGTTTTTTTTAACAGCATCACCTACAGTGTTGGTTCTTGTGTCTAAAATCTAGTGGTTGAAAATGCTTCGTGGTAGGGGATTTTGTCAGCCCATCGACACCATGCACATTGAAGCATACAGTATATGTTTGGCAGTAATTGCAGGTATAAAGAACTGTTGGAAATTGCAATCAGCGTCTCCATAAAGCCTGTGAGCACAGGGAAGCAGCAGGTGCACCAACAGTTCATGGTATAAAGCTACAGTAATGTGGGATGGATCTGATTATGTACTTCTATATATGAATCTGCTCTGTGAATATTTAAGCAGTAGAATGTTTCTATTTTTTGCCCTTATTTTTTTGCTTTTTCTGCTTGGAGACAGAAACATTTAATATTTTTCTGCACTACTCTCCACAAAAAGAAGTTAATTATTGCTTGCTGATTTAGGACAAAGCTTAAGATTTCTACATTAGAAATGTTTTATCTCTCTGTTATCATTGCTTAATGTTTCCAAGATACTGAGGATCCCTTTAGATGAAATCCATGTTTATTGTATTAAATATATGCATCAATGTAAGAAGTAAGTTTCACTGAACAAAATTGCTCAAATGAATCAACTTATCAGCTTTATTCTAAAATGCTTGAGTTACAGCAAGGCTTATACCTTCTTTGATGGAATTCATTCTGTAATGCTGTTTTGTTCTGCGACTTTCTCTGAGATATACTCTCTTGATGTTTTGGTTGTAGTAAGGATTTATTTCTTTTTACCTATCACAGTACCTTTCCTTCGCTCTTAAACTTGGCTGTACCTCTATAGTTTTTTGTTATTGTGGATAATAAAAGTTATATTTTTTTAAGATTTGGGAAAATAGGTTTTCCTGCCATATAATAACAAATTTAACCAAACGTTGGGTGGAGAGCTACTCAGTAAGTTTAAGCAACTTAACTAAAAAGATCAAATTCTACAGAGCAAAGCCTGTTTGACCTAGCTTAGATTTTGTTGAATAAATATTAACTAGGTGTAACTTGCACCTCCTCTGTTGCACTATTAGAATAAACTGTAAGATTGTGTAAGAAACATATGACTATTTGTAAATAATATCCAGTTATGTAGCTTCATTTCAGAGGACAGTGTCTGCTTTTGCTAAATGAGTCACTGTAGCCAAAACTGTTCTGTCCTCAGGATGGTGCTAGAGAGAGAAAAATAAACACTCTAAAATGATCAACCATCTTTATTGTGTTTAATGTTCTAATAAACTATTTTGGATATAATTTTTTAAGATGTGATTATTGTGATTTTTTATTTATTAATTTTTTTCTACCAACTTATATGGTCATAACCTAGTTTAGAAGCTCTGTACAATTTATTATGTGTTAAGATCCTAATGCTCTGTGCTAGTTGTAAATGTATTCAACTAAGCCAATTTCTGTACTAAGAAAGTTTACAAGGCTTGAATATATATCTCTGTATGTATGTATGTATGTATGTATGTATGTATGTATGTATGTATGTATGTATGTATGTATGTATGTATGTATGTATGTATGTATGTATGTATGTATGTATGTATGTATGTATGTATGTATGTATGTATGTATGTATGTATGTATGTATGTATGTATGTATGTATGTATGTATGTATGTATGTATGTATGTATGTATGTATGTATGTATGTATGTATGTATGTATGTATGTATGTATGTATGTATGTATGTATGTATGTATGTATGTATGTATGTATGTATGTATGTATGTATGTATGTATGTATGTATGTATGTATGTATGTATGTATGTATGTATGTATGTATGTATGTATGTATGTATGTATGTATGTATGTATGTATGTATGTATGTATGTATGTATGTATGTATGTATGTATGTATGTATGTATGTATGTATGTATGTATGTATGTATGTATGTATGTATGTATGTATGTATGTATGTATGTATGTATGTATGTATGTATGTATGTATGTATGTATGTATGTATGTATGTATGTATGTATGTATGTATGTATGTATGTATGTATGTATGTATGTATGTATGTATGTATGTATGTATGTATGTATGTATGTATGTATGTATGTATGTATGTATGTATGTATGTATGTATGTATGTATGTATGTATGTATGTATGTATGTATGTATGTATGTATGTATGTATGTATGTATGTATGTATGTATGTATGTATGTATGTATGTATGTATGTATGTATGTATGTATGTATGTATGTATGTATGTATGTATGTATGTATGTATGTATGTATGTATGTATGTATGTATGTATGTATGTATGTATGTATGTATGTATGTATGTATGTATGTATGTATGTATGTATGTATGTATGTATGTATGTATGTATGTATGTATGTATGTATGTATGTATGTATGTATGTATGTATGTATGTATGTATGTATGTATGTATGTATGTATGTATGTATGTATGTATGTATGTATGTATGTATGTATGTATGTATGTATGTACAAATAATATAATTTACAAACAATTATATACAATTCTCCGCTGTTTCCTACATTTTCCGTTTCTTATGTCATGCGGACCAAGATGTAATATAATGGGTCTCGGTTGAAAAGTCTCACCTCTACAATATATAGAGGCATTAGTATGCATAAGTCTTTACATGCAAAATGGTTGAACAAGTTTTTATAATATGTTAAACTAATTTCTATACCATTTATCACAGTTTTTTCCCCCCCTAAATCTGTCTGATTTTTGTTAAATTCCAGACAGATTTAGAAAACCTAATCATGGGCACTCTACAGGGAGGGATCAGATAGAGGAGGACTTGGAATTAACTCAGTGTCCATCGCTCCAAACCCTCCAGGTAATTTTTGTGACTCAAAAAAGGATGCTAATGCAGTTCCTCTCACCCTACTCCACTTTTATAAAACCAAACACACAGATGAGCCTCAAGGCTGCCATGGATGCAGTATGCGATGACATCACAACAGATGCTTACTGAGGTTATAGTAGACACCCTCTAAGATTCTTACTTTGATTCATTGAGATGGAAGAAATTCATTGGGATAGTGGAGGAGGAAATAATGTGGTTCAAAATAGAGGAATTTTGGCAGGTTTATGAAAAATGCATTGTAATCCCTACAATGCTGCATTTCCAGTTTTCGAACAAGAGATATTCACATTTTACCCTTTTTTCGTTCTGTAAAGGAAAACAATATAGGTAAAATGTAAATTTGCAATAATAAAAAATGTAAATTTGTAAATTTGCAATAACTGCCATCAAACCTCTAGCCATATTTACATCACAACATCCCTCCAAAGTACGTTGTTATGTTAAAAACATGACTAAGCAATTAGACCTTCTTATCCGCTCACAAGGACTAGTGATTCTGACAGCACTGACATTCGCATTGACACAGATATTGACTAAGTAAGACTGTTTTCTTAAGTATACAGATAGACGGACGACACATGCATGCATACATACATACATACATACATACATACATACATACATACATACAGAGATATACAGAAATTGGTTTAGTTGAATACATTTACAACTAGCACAGAGCATTAGGATCTTAACACATAATAATTGTTTGTATGGGAGTACTAAAACTTTTTCAAACTAAAAATGCTCAACACTTATTTTTCAGTATGGCTTATTTGTTAGCATATGTAATTAGTTGTTCAAAATGCATTAAGGGACATAAAAACAGTAAAATATTTTGTTTTGTATATTTAAAATGTTATAAACAGTACATATTTTCATATGTATTGCACCTGTTATGATCTGATCTGAGTTAGGATTAGCAGATTCTGCAACAGATTCTTCCCCACTGCCATCAGTGTGCTGAACAGATGAAAAGACTCTGAATTAAGCCACAGAGTTTGCATCACACTGATAACACCAAACAAAATATTCTGCATAATTGCACCATACAGTATATATCAATGCTCTGAACTTCCATATCAATGCATTTTTTTGCACCATGTTGCTTTCTCTCACACTGTTTACATCTGATCACTGTTGCACTTTATGGAAACTGTACAAAACAAAATTATACACTCTGTGTATACAAAATGACAATAAAAGTTGTCTAAGTCTATATACACCTTAGCTTGAATAATCTCTATATTTTTTATTATAACAATTTTTTATCAGATAGAGCCGTAAAAGAGGTATTTGACCAACTCTTCCTGTGGTTTTTAAGCCTTTGTCTGTGAGATTTTACCACAGACTGTTGAGTCACTGATTCAAATAAAATTAAATAAAAAAATCAGTTGCTTGGTGTTGAGATTTACGGAAGAGGATTAGGGCCACTGAAAAAAATAATATGACAAAAAAGTCAGACTTTCTCAGAATCCATTCTTCCATCCATTATCTGACATGCTTGTCCCAATTGGGGTTGCAAGGGGTGCTGGTGCCTATCTCCAGCTGTCAATGGGCAAGAGGCGGGGTACACCCTGGAAAGGTCGCCAGTCCATCGCAGGGCAACGCAGAGACAAACAGGACATACAACCATTCACAACAGTCATGTTTTTGGACTGTGGGAGGAAGCTGGAGTACCTGGAGAGAACCCAGGCGTGCTCTGGGAGTACATGCAAACTCCATGCAAACTCCACTGAGCAGCCCTTAATCTCAGAATGTTGGATCTTATGGTAGATGGGCATCATGAAGGAAGAAATGTTGGAGCACTCCTTCACTTACAAAGATGTGAGTTGTTTGGTAGGGCAGGTAACACATTGGTGGGAAAAAATGAAGAAATTAGGCAATTTTTACATGCCGAGGGGTCCCTGGTGATGCTATTTCAGTAAAGAAGTATGCTTTAGTCTGTTCTGTTGGTGATGTGACTTTTTTCCATTGAAAACTCACGTTTACAGAATGTTACAAATAAAAGTCAAATTTCATTCAACATGCGTTTATTTTTTTTTATAATTAAGTGTTACACGTGTGCTAAAAAGTGCCCTCCCCCCCCCCTCCTGAGCACCTGCCCCCCAAAATGTCTGCGCACGCCTCTGGAAATGAAGAAGCAAAAAGTGATTAAAACATGAGAGCTAGTTTAGTTTCTAAAACAGACATGGCTACAGCTTCATGCTAACATGTTTGTTAGCTGTGAGAATTCTGAGAAAAAAGTGAGAATTCTGAGAAAAAAGTCAGAGTTCTGAGAAAAAAATCAGAGTTCTGAGGAAAAAGTCAGAATTCTGACTTTTTTCCATATTAAACTGAAATAATGTTTAAAAATCAGTTAACTTTTTTATTTTTTCAGTGACCCTAATCCTCTTCCGTAGAGATTACAGTCAAACACCATTTTTTTAAAAATACTTCGAAATGACAGGGGTTATCTTTTAGATAATACTTGAAGATAAAAACACTCCTAGCTTTGTTTGTCTGAAGTTTATTGCGGAATATCCACGGCAATCAAAAAAAAAAAAAAAAAAAAAAAAAAAAAATCCTTTGATACAATGGAGCAGGGCAACAGAAGCTCTCCGCCAATAGGAAGCCTCGGGGGGCGGGCCTTAATGCGTCAGCACGTTAGAGTGCACACTGCGCCGAGCCAGCCAGCTTGCTTCAGAGTAACAGTAAATCAGACAGAGCAGCTCCTAACAGCTCCTCCAGCTCCTGCAGTGAAACCGTAACCCCTGTTGCAAGTATTTTTGGCCGCTCAGAAGAACCCGGGTGAGCTCACTGTGGTCTCTTTTCCTCGGACACACTCGAAGAGTTTGTTCGGCAAGAGCAACGCAGGGACCCGTTTTCAGCCTCCTTTCATATACATTTTACACCTCTTCAATTTCATTATCACACTGGAAATGTCCGAAAACAAGCCGAATGATGAGCCCAAGTTATCTACGACGGACAGGGTGGTGAAATGTAAGTGGAAAATTGTTTTATTTTTTATTTTTTTTTTGCTTTTAGAAACGGTCTCTATGTGCTGTCTGGGAGAATTCGCGGTTCGTCGCAGCGGCATTAAATGTAGTGGAGAATCGTTCGCTGGCTTATGGGGGAAGAAGGGTGTTAGCCGAGCTGTGACAAGCAGCTGTAAACTAGGAAGTGAGGGAAGTTCAGCCTGCAAGAATCTTACAGATGGCGTGCACATTAAAGAATCGTTTTAAATGGTAAAGACGTGTCTTTATATGAATGCACAGCCTGCAGGTTGATGGTCATGATTTACATGGATGCATGCATTTTGGGTGCACGGTGTGCATGCAGATCGCTTCATTGTGCATGCATCAAACAAAGCTTCATCTCTCCTGTTTTAGCTATTGCACAATGCAATGCCACTCGATGTATATTTGTTCGTGGGGGGTTTGCTTTCACTGTTCATGCCACATGGAGTGGTTCTTCCTGCCTCTGTGTTTACAGGTCTGACATTCCACCTTTGCAGTCTACCATAAGAATGCAATAAAGATAATAATCAGTTGGACCCTACCTACCCAGCTTGCTCAGGATCATTTCAGTTTAAGCCTGCAGACTTTTAACCAATACTTCAGCTTCTGCACTGTACATCACAAAAGGCATGTGCAGGGATCACGGTGTGCAACAGCCCATCAGGGGATACAGGCAGGGGTTTTTGGGGAAGAAGATCCTTCAGATCAGGAGGGAAAAACGATTAGTAGCATTGAAGCTTTAGTGGCTTATGGAAGCACAAAGTGTTATTTGGCTTCATTTCTAGTGGAAAGTGGAGGGTGGGTGGGTGGAGTGAAAAAAATCACAGAATGTCTTGGGTGCTTTTGTAATGAATATTTTAAGAGATCATACCCTTACAGTCTCCAGCAACTTGAAGGCTAATGAAAAATGGATGTGACAAGGTTAGGGTACAAGGCAATTTAACAGTTTTACCAGGTATTTCCACCTGGTCCTGTTATGAAGATCCTGGAGAGTCAGAATCAGCTGTATTGGGATAATTGTGGACACAACCAATGAGTTTCAGGGCTCAGGTATACATATATAAACATTACAAATGTAGTTTACTTCATATATACATATTAGGGCTGAAACAATTAATCGTTCAATGGAGTATAGAGAATGTAAAACATGCCTTTAGCTGACAGTGACCCACTTAGAGCAGTAATTATACCAAAAATTTAAAAGAGATATGTAAACAGCTTGCATTTAAGATATAAATAATTTTCATCTGTCAGTATGCTCTGTCCAGAAAAATGAAAAAAAGTTTTTGTTCAACCTGGTTTAATTTAGAAAAAGGCTACTTAAAGTAACCTTTGGCTATCTGATTATTAATTGGTTGAATAATCTAAAAAATACTTCAAATTACTGATTTGAAAGTTATCATTAGTTGCCAGCCCTAATAAATAAATAAATATAAATATATATAAATATATATATATATATATATATATATATATATATATATATATATATATATATATATATATATACATACACATGTCAGCTTTCACTTGTAGTCCAAAAATATGAGTGTTTTGTTAATTGGCTTCTCTAAATTCTCATATATATGTCCACATCCTGTGGGTGTATTATTTGTTACTTTTATGTTTGACACTTTTTCACATAGTTTGTTAGTAAAGAAAGATCCTTTGTGTATCCATATGCAGGGGGTAAACTAGTAAACAGCACGGCTATGCAAGTTAGCACCTCCCAGCAAAGACAACTACAAATGAGAAGAAAAAAACCAACACAAACAAGCGATGGATAAGATTCAAGTAGCTGAAGTAGCATTTAGATGTGGGTGTTGAATTGATTGTGTCAGTTAACAGTCTTATAAATACTAATACTAGTGATAGCAATGTTGTTTTAGTGCAACAGTTTCAGAAAAACAAAAAAAGAACATAAAAAACTGTATTATTTATACCCCTTTTTGTAATGCAGGGCAAAATAGTTGGCGATTTTGTGCAAGCGTTATTCATTAGTGTATAGTGTTCTTATTTGAATTCACTAAATCACAAAAACACAGATAATATTCACTAGATTTGTCTCAAGTTGATGTTCTGAAAAGTCCAGAAACCTGAAAAAAGCAGTGTACTGTAGCCACCGGTTAGCTTCATACCCTAGTGAGCTTCATGGCAAGATGGACACCAGCAAGCAGTTTTTCAAAATAAATTCATTTTAAACTCTAAACTAATTGTGATTAGAATAAGTGTGCAAGTACACAGTATGCTGTATCATATATGTTTTACATAGTTTAAGATATAAAAAAAAAATCCATCCTGAAGATAATGGGGATTTTATATTGCTGTGGTGGTGCGTCACGATCAGTTAAATTTGGCAGAAACCCTGCAAGAATTTAACAACAATTCCCTAAACTTTTATTTTGTGTTCATTCCAATTAATTCCATAGGTTTTATCCAATGATTTAAAATGTACCATATTGATATACTTCTTACATTTATGCTGTGTTCCTGTTTGCATTTAGTAGGAACGTGAGTTGTTGTTGTTCCTCCATGTTTTGCTAGGAGGCTCTAGAGAGGATTCACTAGAAGATGGAGTAGCTATAGGTCAGGTTGGGCTCTTGCTTTACCATGAAGCTTTGCAGAACAGTCAGGTTGAGCTAAATAAAATGTCACTATCCAGATGTCTGATATTCCCTGACAATGCCCGGTGCTGGAATTCTATTTAGGCTCACTAAAGACTAAGCACTATCAGGATGGGCTTTTGGTGTAAATAACCTTATTTTATAGTGATCAAATGGTTTTTGGTCTTTTTTTGTGTATATAATCGGGTATATAATAAAGCTCTGCCCCTTTAAATAATCTTTATTTTGTCAAAAATGTTTAAATGTGTCTTATTTTGTTCAAATAAGTAGCAAGGAACAGTACCTCTGGATTGATCTTTAGGCTACTATAGTGCATATCTGAGTCCTGTGTTCTCCTGCAGCATCCTGCAATGCTCAGGAAAGGTCTGCAATTATCTTAATCAGCATTGATTAGACATTAGGAGGGGGGTTGTCAGTGAAACGGGATCCCAGATTCAACAGGCCTCGGCTTAAGCTCTTGGAAGTAAATTCATTCATAGAGCTTTTCGGGAATTCAGATGTTTTTGGTACTGCATTGGTATTGTGACAACACAGGATGCTGGCTGTGTACATACAAAGCACAAACATAGCTGCAGGCTATAGGTGTGAGGTCATTTGTTTTCAGCTGAGGCGTCGGTCCAACTTATCACGAGCGCACAGCAGCCACCTGTTTTCAGAAGGCATTATCATAATGCTCCTGAAAGCCACTGCTGCAGAGTAATTACTCCGTCCACTTTAATCAGCCTCGGCAGGGGCAAGTAGGGGAGGGTTCTTGGTGTTTTTTTTATACTCTGCAGAAATAAATATAGGAGGAAATGTCAGTTCGAAACATTTCACTGTAATGAACTATGTGCAGAAACCTGGCTCAGTGGTGGACCATTACTGGAGCTTTTAAGGCTTACCTGATTAAGTAGCTGTGGGATAGGGATTATCCATGACCTGTGATAATCCCTATTATTTTCTCAAAAGTTCTGGACATCATCATTGTTAATTAGGCTCTTAAAGGACTAGCTCTGTCTCTATTCCCAGCATTCACGGACTAAGGGATCTAAAATTATATTCTAAAAAAAAGGCCTCAAAGTAAATCATTGAATCCTTTATTTTAATGTCACATTTCTGTGAGCATCTATTGGAATTGATTTGCAGCAATTTTACTAGGGGTGTCCAGATACAAATTTTTCATTTACTATAGCGATAATGCAGCATTCGGAGTTGATCGATACCGATATCGAGCCGATATGCTATCAGCGTCAATCATGCATACTTTGATTGCTTATTCATCGGCGTAGAGTTATAGACAAGGCTTTATCAGGTGATATTTCTCAAACATAAAATAATAATCAACAACATCAGACCCGTTTCTTTATATGCAAAGTGTTTCTGTGAGCTTTCTAATATCTCAGACTTAGGAGGCAGGCCAAAATATTCCAATATTAATTTTGTTGCTGATACGGGGACTGATATCAATATTGGGTTGGAATATCCCTAATTGTTTTATTAAATGCATTAATTAATTAATTGCCAAGTGATATTGTAGCCAGCCCACCCAGTTCTGCAGTAGATGCTCACAATGATCCTGGTGCACCAATGCTGGAGGTCACGGATAGCTTCTAAAGCATTTTAATGATCGTAAAGAAATTTAGATTTTTCTAATATCATGCAGCCCAAATTATGCCACGGCAAAACCCTAAAGGATTTTATTATAGGGAGTTTATGTGATTGATAAACATAAACAGCATCATGAAGCCCCAAAGAGCACATAAAATGAAAACTGTGGGTAATTAAAATGAGGGTAAGAAGTTATGTCAGGATTCCTAGCTTTGAACTTGCTCTCTGGGAAACACGGTGGTAGAAGCGTCATGATGTGGGGAGTGTTTTCCAGTTGCAGGAAGCTGGTTAGAGTTAATGGACTGAAAGGAGGTAATGGAGGATCCAGTCAAAGTAGGAGCAAAACCTGTCGGACGCGGCAGAATGCTTCATCTGGGGGATGAAGGGTCATCTTTCAGTAGGACGATGATTTGATTAAAAGCTTTACGCAAGACTTTCAAATTGATCTCCTTAAAAAAAATAAAAGCTTTTATCTGATAGAAAAGTTTTAACTTTTTATTAACTCTACTTGCAATTTTAAAGTAATCCACCAACTAAAAGTTGTGTCAAATGTCAAAAAGTCCACCGGGTATCAATACTTTTATAAAGGATTTTAGTTGGTTTGGTTGCCTTGACGACAGCAGTGCTCCAAAGCAGAATAAGCTTGGTAATGATGTTTTTCCGTCACCAGCCTCTGACACAGGCGGGGGGCTGTGGTGGGACCCAAGAGCAGCTCCCGATGGAGCGCCGGGGATGGATAACATCTGACATTTGACTTTTTTAGAAGAGGGCC